GGAACGGGCAGGGCCGCACCGGGTGGTGCTGCGGAGCCGTGGGTGAAGCAGGGTGGCGTGGTGACGGCAGAAGGGGCTGCGCTCACCTGGTGGCTCCCGCAGGGAAGCGCCGTGTGCGAGCGAACCTCGAGGGGGCGCAGGACCTGGGGGAGGGCGAGCTGTGGCAGTGACACGGGGCGGGCTGGGGGGGGACAGCAGCGCTGCAGTCCCTGCCGACGCCTCCGGAGCGCCGCTCCCGCAGGGTTGTCCTCTGGGATGGTGCTGGTGTTCGACGTCCCCCCGAAAGGGACCGACATCGCGGTGAGCGAGGTCCTGAAGGAGCACCGCGACGCCATCACCGACATCGCCGCCGAGCTGGGCCAGGCGCCGGTACGTGCGTGAGCGCCAGCGGCCGCTGGGGACAAAGCGGGGGGTGGGGGCTGCGGCCGTCCCGCGGCTGCGGTGGGGGCGCTGTGGCTGCGCGGGGCCGCCCTGACGTGGCGCCGTGCCCTCCTTGGCCAAGCCTGGCCTCTGCCGCCTGCAGGCAGCGTTTTGTAAGCGGCCGAATCTCGGTCCTGGTCGGCCGGATGGCGGGGAGGCAAAGTGCTGCGGCTGAGGCCGTCTTGATGGGACGAGGAGCCGAGGCGCTTTTGCACAAAGAGCGCCTGTGAGAGTGTGACTAATTGGCAGAGAATGGCCTGTGACACGTCAGGGTGCCAGGGCACGGAAGAGCCACTGAGAGCTAAAGAGCAGCCTTGTAACAAGAGCGAGCAAAAGTGGCGGCGAATAAACGGCCAGCAGAAGGCAAGCTGGCAGCATGAGGGAGCTGCTGGCAAAGGCCCTGCTGAGCGCAGGGTGAGGGGGGCACGGCCCGGCCTGCCTCTACTCGGCTCTTGTGAGGCCCCATCTGGAGTCCTGTGTCCAGGTGTGGAGCCCTCAGCACAAGAAAGACATTGAGATGTTGGAAAGGGTCCAGAGGAGGGCGACTGAGATGAGCAGGGGGCTGGAGCACCTCCCCTATGAGGACAGGCTGAGGGAGTTGGGCTCGTTCAGCCTGGAGAAGAGAAGCTGCGGGGTGACCTCAGTGCAGCCTATCGATACCTGAAGGGAACCTACAGCCAGGAGGGGAGTCAACTCTTCAGAAGGGCTGACAACAGCAGGACGAGGGGAAATGGATCCAAGTTGAGGGAGGGAAGATTGAGGTTGGATGTTAGGGGGAAGTTCTTCCCAAGGAGAGCGGTTAGGGCCTGGAACGGGCTGCCCAGGGAGGTTGTGGATGCCCCGTCCTTGGCCGTGTTCAAGGCCAGGTTGGACGGGGTCCTGGGCAACCTGATGTGAATGTGGATGTTTGGTGGCCCTGCTGGGCAGGGGGTTGGAACTGCGTGATCCTTGAGGTCCCTTCCGACCCGGGTGATTCTGTGATTCTGTGATCTGTGATTCTGCCTGCCTGCACGGGGATCCTGAGGGCCGCAGGGCCGCCGTTCTGCCCGGAGCTCGGGGAGGTGGGGAAGCCGAGGGCAGCGCTGCTCCTGGGGGCCGAGCTGCTTCCCCTGCCCGCCCTCAGCAGAGGGGAGGAGGCGTCTCACCAGCGGCACGGTGACCCTTGTCACGTCCTCTGCTCCATGCCAAAGATCAGCCTGGAATCGGGACGGGGCTCCTGGGCTCGCTGGGTGACATCTCAGCACACACGCTAATTGCCTTCCTCATTACCGGCTGCGTCTTTCCCGACGAGGCCGCTTTGATAACATTCTCTAATGAGGCGCGTTGAGCTTTCCCTGCGTTTGGGACTCCCTTGAACAATTAATTGCTTAGAACTCGTTCCCAATTAGCCTGGATGTGGAGCTCGTTTGTGAGAGCCGCTCGGTCGCCCCGCTCTGCCTGGTCTCCAAGGCGCTGCTCTGCAGTCAGAGCGGAGGGACGGAGCTCGCTGTGACCCCCAGAGCAGCGGCTGAAGTTTGTGCTGAGACTCCAAAGCGGAGGGAGGAGCCGCGCTGATCGATCTCACAAGTTTCCCCCGCGCGTAATTAATTCTAATTAGCGTTGCCGAACACCGGCGTGTTGAAGCTGAAACTCTCACGCGCTCGCGGCCAGGTTTTCCCCTTCCACAAGATGTCAGCACTTTCTGCGGGCGGTTGAACTTTGTGCCGCAGGCCGCGGCTTCCGCGTGCTGCAGCTCCGGCCCCGCTGCCAGCGGCAGCTTCTGCCCGCCGGCGGTCGGCAGCTCGCCGCCCTCTGCCGGCCCCGCTGAGCCTCGGCCGCTCCCGCAGGACGGGGCCGGGGACCTGGTGACCGCTGACGACGCCGGGGCGCTGTGCGTGTGGAGCTCCGGCGAGGAATTCTCCCTGCTCAACAGGATCCCGGCCTTCGGGTGAGTCCGAAGCGGCCGGGGCGGGAGGGGGCGCGCGGGTCTGCGGCCGGCCGGGCGGAGGGGAAGTGACGGCGGCCCCGCGCCCAGCTGGAGCTGCTCCTCCGTGCGGCTCTGGAACGGGATCGTGGCCGCCGGTTACGGCAACGGGCAGATCCGGCTGTACGACGCAGCGACGGGCAGCCTGCGAGCCGAGGTGGGCGCGCACGCCCGCTGGATTTACGCCCTGGACCTGGCACCGGCCTCGGGAAAGGTACGGCGCGCTGCGCGGGGCCGCGTGCGGTCGGGGAGATCGGCCCGCCGTGCCACGGCCTCTCTGCCGCCCCCCTGCAGCTGCTGTCGGGTGCGGAGGACTCCTTCGTTCACGTGTGGAAGCTCAGCAGGAACCCGGACACCGACGACGTTGAGGTGAGCGCGAGACGCGAGCGGGCGGCGGGGATTCGGGAGCGGGGCGCCGCGGGTCGCTGCCGTGGGGTCGCGGCTGCCGCGGCTGCTCGGGACGCTGCAGTGGAAAGCCGGCCGGGCCCGGCCTGGGCTGCTGCAGCCGCTCGGCTCCTCCTCCCGTTGGCGCGGCCCCGAGTCTCGACGTGGGGCGCAGGAAGGAACGGCTCCCGGGCTGTGAACCGGCCGGCTGTAGCCTCGGCTGCCGGCCCGGCTCTCCCTGCCCGTCGCTCGGAGCGCTGTGTTCATAGGAGGGCGCGGACGTGAGGCGGCTCGGGCTGTGCTGCTCGAACTGCGGTTCTGTGCAGGTCGAGCACTGCCACGCTGAGTGCGTCACCGACACCCAGATCTGCGGTGCCCGGTTCTGTGACCCCGAGGGAAACTCCTTTGCGGTGACCGGCTACGACCTCAGCGAGATCTTCTGCTACAGCCGGGTGTAACCGCGAGCCGTGCGGGCTGCTGGGGGGCCGCGGCAGGGAGAGCCGGCACCCCCCAAACCTCCGTCACAGCGCCGTGCCCGGCAGGGTGGGATTCTGCACGCAGCCGGAGCTGAGATCGGTCGCTCCCAAAGCATCCCTGCCCTCTGCGCGTGGGAACACGGGCCGGGAGCCGTGCCGGCTCCGCAGCACTGCGGGTCCCCGAGCCAGAAGTTGCCCCCCCTGCGAGAAGGATGCGGCCGAGGTGACGTGGCCGGGCAGCAGCAGCCGCACCGCGGGCTCTGGTAGCAGCGTTCCTGTCCGTTCCCCGCACGGAGGGACTCCTCTTCCCCGCGGCACCTTTCCTTCAGGCACGAAGGGATCCGGGCTGAACCCGTGCTACGAGCCCGGCCGGCCGGGGGGGCCGCAGCGGCCGCTCCCACCCCAGGCGGCCGCACCCACGGCTGCAGCAGCGCGGCCCGCCCCGGCCCGGGGCTCAGCGGGGCAAGGCGAGGCCTCGCGCCCTGCCGGCAAACCCGGCTCCCAGCGGCCGCCCGTGCGGGGCCGCAGCCGCGCTCCGTGCCGCAAAAAGCGGAGGCCGCGCTCTGCTGGGACGGCCGTGCGCCCCGGGGCCGGGCTGCGAGGTCGCTGTGCGGAGCCACGGCCCCGCTGGCACCCCGTGGGCTGGGAGGCGGTCCCGCACCGTGCTGGAAGTGGGGCCGCGCTCCGTGCCGCAGTTCTCCCCGTGCTGCCGTCACCTCCCCACCCCGTGTCCCAGGCCGGGCTCGGCGGTGTCACGGAGCTCCGCGTCCCGGCTGTCCCTGCTGGCTCCATTCCCGGGGCCCGACGGGGCGGGGGGTGCGCGGGGGGCTCGGGAGGAGCTCGGCTCTGCTCGGACCGCTGCTCGGCAGGCGGGCCGGGAGCTTCCTGCGGCTCCCGGGTCCGGCGCGGCCCTGCGGGTGCCTTTCCTGCAGCCTCCGGCAGCGTTGGGATCCGGGCCGGGCTGCTCCAGCTCCCGCCGTGGGGTGAGAGCCTCACCAGCGGTGGGGGCCCTTCTGCCCCACGCGCCCCGTTCTCACCGTCAGCGCTGAGCCCCAGCCCCGTTCGCGTTCCAGCCCTGCTCTGCCCTCCCAGCCGTGCTCCCCCACACGGCATCACCCCCCGTCCCCGCGTGCGCCGCCCCCCACCCCCAATAAACAGCCCCGACCCGAGCGCCGTCGCGTCGCTGCTCTCTGTGCCCAGCGCCACCGCCGGGCAGTGAGGGGCAGGCAGCGCTCGGTCCCGTTACAAAAGGTTTTATTAAAGGTTAAAATCGGCGCGGTGAGGAGCCCCGCTCACAGTGCTGGGGAGGCGGGGGTACAAACAGCCCTTGAGGTGGGCGCGGGCGCCCGGGGGTTGTGCTGGGGCGGGACGAGCGGAGTAGAAAAGTGTACAAAGGGTCGTTGTGCAGCACGGGGACACGGCGACCGGGACCCAAAGGGGGCCGGGACGCGTCCAAGGCACGGAGATGAGCGGGGCCAGCCGGGCCGCCCGCCGCCTCTCCCTCGCGCCCCGCTCACAGCTTGGCCCCCGCCTCCGGCAGCGCGGAGGGGGGAATTCAGCACCAGAGAGCCCGGCTGGGAGCGCCCAGCTCGGGTCAGCACCCTGCCGCGGGCCCCCAGCCCCACAATACTGCTCGGTCAGAGGTAGCACCAGCGCGGGGGGCCCTGCCGGCTCGACGCCGCTCCGCGGGGGCCGTGAACCGGAGCGGCGGCCGCGGCGGGCGCCCGTAGCCGGGGACGGGGCTGTAAACAGGCGGCGGCTCCCGAGGAGGAGAAGCCCCCAGGCCGGCACGGCTCGGAGCCCGGCCGCGTCCCCGGCCCTGGGAAGCGGCACGGCCGCGCTCCCGGCTCACGAGACGTGGGGCGAGGGCCGCCAGAAGCACCACTTGCTGCGGGTGTGCTGCTTGCGCTGCAGCTGCTCCTCGCGCTCCCGCTCCTTCTTGGAGCGCAGGTACAGGTCCTCCTCCTTCAGGTACCACACCGGCGGCCAGCGGTGCCTCTCGAAGTGCGCCTGGTTCTCTGCGGGGCGCGGGGGCTCAGCGCACGGCCGGCCGCCCCCTCTCCCCCCCCCCGGACCCCGCGCCGCCCGCGCCCTACCCGGGGACATGAACTTCATCTCTCGGGGGAAGCGGCGGCACACGCTGTTGTAGTTGGTGCAGATGTAGTGCAGGCACCAGGCGGCCAGCTGCCGGGCGTTGTGGAACTGCAGGGACCCCCATCAGGACGGGCCGAGCCGGGGGTCGATGCCCCTCAGCCCCCCATCCCGTACCTGAGTCATCTCCAGGTAGATGAGCACCTGCTCGTCGATCTCCACCTGCTGCATGAAGGCGCGGAGCAGCTCATCCACGGCGTACTGCTCTGCGGCACGGATGGGGCCGTGAGCGCGGGGCGGCGCCGGGCTGCGACGGCTCTTACATAAGGGCCGCCCGGGGCCGCATCGATCCCAGCGCCAGCCGGCCTTCATCGTATCGGCGGCTGACGTCAAGGGCAGCCGGGGGGCGGGGGAGGGGGGCGGCTCACCTGTGAGCGCCTGCAGCCGGGGCAGGCAGAGGCGGTTGGTGAGGATGAGCAGCTCCATGGCGTCGAGGTCGGGTGTGGGCGTGAAGACCCCGGTGTAGAGGAAATCGAGGACGGCGCGCAGGCAGGCGCAGTTGGTGCCCGGCAGGGAGACCTGCGGGACGGGGGCGCGGGGACCGGCGCTGCGGGAAGGACGGACCCCCACCCAGAGCCCCGCGCGGCCGGGCCCGAGCGCAGGGATGCCGTGTGCGCAGCGCCGTGCCGGCTGCTCCCCGCAGCGGCCGCCTCCCACCGTCCCCTCCCAGCCGTCCCACCGCCTGCTGCCCCCTCACCTCGGCAGCGTAGCTCTCCCGGAACGCCCCCCGGAACATGGCCATCATCCAGTCGCAGCCGGCTATCAGCAGGGGTTTGTGCGCCGGCACGGCCCCGTCGTCCACGCGGAACACCACGTCTGGGCAGCACGGGGACGGGATGCACAGCCCGCAATGGCGCTGCCACACGGGTGGCGTGGGGTGGGGGGCTGGGGGGGGGGGCGCCCCGCGTGGCCGCGCCGTACCTGCAAAGACGCCCTTCCCCAGGCACTCCTTGATGCGGTTGGCACGGCGCACGTGGAAGGCTTTGGTGATCTCCTGGTTCATGAAGCTCTCCTTGTTGAGCACGTTGGCCACCATCATGCGCAGGTCGAACACCTCCAGCAGCTCGGCGATGGTGGCCACCTGCATCAGGTCAGCGCACGCCCGCTCCAGCCGCCCGGTGTAGAGGTACTCCAGCACGGCGCGGAACGGCTCCGGCGCCACCGAGCGGTCCATGCACACCACCGTCATCCTCTTCTCCCTCCCGGCCACCGGGTCGGCCACCACCTCCCAGCGCATGCTGACGAAGCCCCGGCCCCACGCCGACAGATCGCGAGCGCCATCCCCCGTCGCCGCCCGCAGCGCCTCGTCGCTCTGCACGGCGCGCAGCCCGCCCTGCGGCCCCTCGCCCAGCGCCCCCCGCTCCCCGTCCAGGCTGCGGGCGCGGGCGGCCGGCTCCTTGCCCGTCCCCAGCGGCCCCTCCAGGGTGAAGAGGTCGTAGAACTTGGAGCAGGAGGTGGCCAGGTAGACGCGGTGCGCGAAGACGCGCTGCCCGCCCTGCAGCTGGAAGACGACGTCGGCGCACAGCGGGGTGCAGAAGAGCGCGGCGGGGCCCCAGGCGCGGCTGGCCGGCGGCTCGGGGATGCGGATGACCGGCGGGGGGGGCTTGGGGGGCAGGAAGGGCGCCTGCAGCAACGGGCGCTGCATCTTCTTCAGGTGGGACTTCCAGAACTGCAGGTGGCGGCGGGAGATGAGCGCAGCGCGGATGGCGTTGTCAAAGACGTCCTTGATGCCGAACTGGGCCACCACGCTGGTCTCGTAGTAGGGGACGCCCAGCTCCTTGGCCACCTCGTGGCCCCGCTCCGGGGGCAGGATGTCCGTGGGTCGGATGGGCCTGGGGGGACGGCGGGGGAACTCATCACCACGCGTGGGACCCGCTGAGCATCGGGGGTCCAGAGGATGGGGGACCCTGTGAGTGGGGGGGCATAGGGGACCCAGAGAGCGTAGGGGACCCGGTGACCGGGTGGCACCCGCTGAGTGTAGGGACCCAGTGACTGTGGGAGCCCCAGCCCTGCCACCCCCCCGGCGCAGCCTCACTTGGCCAAGGGCCGCCTGGCGCGGTTGACGGCGTCCAGGTCGGCGTAGCGCAGGTCCAGCTGGCAGCCCACCAGGATGATGGGCGTCCGCGGGCAGAAGTGTTTGATCTCAGGGTACCACATGGTCTTCACGTGGCGCAGGGAGTTGGGGTTGGCCAGCGAGAAGCAGAGCACCACCACGTCTGACCTGGGCCAGGAGGAGGAGGAGGAGGAGGAAGGTCAGAGCCCTCACCGGCCCCCTGGGCACCAGCATGGAGATACCAGCGGGCAGCAGCACAAGGGACCCGGCCCCACGCTGTGCCCCACATTGGGGTCCCGCAGGGCATCGGGAGCAGCCCCAGAGCCACGGCTGCTTTCTGCCTGGGACGTGACCCGGAGCCGTGCTGGAGCCGGGCCGGTGCCAGGACCAAGATAGACACCACCCGCCCGCCCTCGGGCCCCCCGCCAGCACGGGAGCTGCGAGCGACGCCGGCACCCAGAGCCCCGCGGCACAGCGGCGGTGAGCGGGGGTCACTGGGTGGCTGTGGGCACCCCACGCCATGGCATTCCCCACGACCCCCCCCCCCAGGAGCCCCCTGCCCCGTCTGGTGCCCCCAGCCCCGTGGAGGGGTTGTGGGAGTGTGCCCACGAAGCTGGCGCGGGGGCAGCGATAGCAGAGGGGCCGTGCCAGGGGCTGAGGGCTGTGCTTGTTTACAGCCCGGGCGTTGCGCGGGGGGGTCGGGCCTTGCCCTGCTCAGCCATGGGGCATCGGGAGCTGAGAGGTGGGACAGGGCCCTACAGGGGGGGACAGGATCCTACAGGGGGGGACAGGACCCTACAGGGGGGGACAGGACCCTGCAGGGGGGGACAGGGCCCTACAGGGGGGGACAGGACCCTGCAGGGGGGGACAGGGCCCTACAGGGGGGGACAGGACCCTGCAGGGGGGGACAGGATCCTACAGGGGGGAACAGGACCCTACAGGGGGGAACAGGGCCCTACAGGGGGGGACAGGGCCCTACAGGGGGGACAGGACCCTGCAAGGGGGGACAGGACCCTGCAAGGGGGGACAGGACCCTACAGGGGGGAACAGGGCCCTACAGGGGGGGACAGGGCCCTGCAGGGGGGGTCAGGACCCTACGGGGCACTGCACACTGCAGGGACTGGGGGGTGTGAGCTGGGCACGGCAGACTTTGGGGTGTCCCGATGCCCCTCTTGCTGTATGTGGGTCCCCAACAGCCTCAGAACCCCCAGGAGTCCCCTGGGACCCCACCGCCACGTGATGCCACCTCTATGGGAGAACCTGCAGGGGGAAGGGAGGATCCCCTCCCGAAGGCGAGGTCCCTCCTGGGGGTGTCTGCAGGTCTTTGCTGGGGGTCTCCTGCACGGAGGAGGTCTCAGCCAGGGGGCTGCGTTCTCTCCCGGGATGGGGGGTGGGCAACCCGGGCCGGGGGGGGGGGGGGGGGGGGGGGGGTTCTGTCCTGATCTGGTTTCTGGTCTCTCCCGGAGAGGAGTTTCTCCCCCTGGCGGGGTTCTCACCCACAGAGGGTCGCTCCCTGGGGGGGTGGGGGTCTCACCCACGGCAGTGTCACCCGACGGGGGTGTCCCCAGCCCCCAGTGCCCCTCCCGGGGGTTCCCTTCGGGGCCCCGCCCCCTACCTGCCGTAGGCGAAGCGCCGGTCCTTGTGGTGGTCCCCGAAGGTGTCCCAGAGCCGCAGCGACACGCTGACCTCGTCCACCACATCGCGGGAGCGCTCCAGCACCTGGGGGGGGGGGCGCCAAGGGGGGCGGGGGGCACTGAGCGTGGCCCGGCGAGACCCCGCCGCCCCCCCCGGCCGCGCACCTCCTGGCAGACGCGGTACTGGTCGATGGCCCACACGGTGGGCACGTGCGTGGCCAGCAGCTGGTATTGGCTCAGCGTCGCGTTGCAGGCGCGGGCGCAGATGAGGCGCGTTTTGCCCACCGCGTTGTCGCCCACCACCACGCACTTGATGGTCTCGACGTTGGGCCGCTCGTAATCCACGTCCAGATCCATGGGGTCCCGCCGGCGCTCAGCGCCGCGCCCCGCGCCGCCCCCCGCCCATCCCCGCGCCGCTCCGCCGCGCCGCCGCCCGGGCCCGTTAGCTGCCGCCCTGCCCCGCCCCGCCCCGCCCCTCCGCCAATCCGCGACGGCCTCGCCTCGCCTCGCCCCTCCCTCTCCGCCCCGCCCCTCGCCCTCCGCCAATCCGCGTCCTCCCCGCCCCCTCGGGCCACGCCCACACGGCCGTTCCGAGCCCCGCCTCCGCGCTGCCCCGCCCGCGCGCGGACAAAGGGGCGCCGCCAGGGGGCGCCGCGAACACGTGACCGCCACCGCCCCCCGCTCCGAGCAGCGCCGGAGCCACGCCTCCTCATGGGCGGGGTTATTCGATAGGCCACGCCCCCCTTCGCACGCCCACCCGCGGAGCGCGGACGGAGGGGGCGGACAGAGGGACGGACAGACGGACGGGGGGGGACAGCGGGACGGGAGGGAGGTCGCGGGGACACCGGCGGCTCCGGGCCGCAGGCACAGCAGGGAGAACTGGGGCCGTAGGGACACAAGTGGCAGCCGGAACCGCGGGGACACCCGGAAGCGTCAGTGACCCCGGGGGCACAAAAGGCCGCCGGGGCTGCGGGGGTCGCCGTGGGGATCGTGGCGGAACGGCTGGGGACCGGCAGCCCCGGCCCCTCGTGTCCGTCCCCCGGGGCTGTGCCCGTACGGCGCCGCGTCCCAGCCCGGCTCTCCACGTGGTGGCGGCTGCCAGCGCGGCCCAGGGGCGCAGCGAGGCACGGGGCTGCGCGGGGCGCGCAGTGAGGGGTGGCAGCGAGGATGGAGCACTGCTGGGACACGGGCGGTGGGGATACGGGGCGCTAATGGGGACACGGGGCAACGCGGGGACAGGGGGCACGGAGCGGGACATTCAACACTGATGGATATGGGACACCGGTGGGGACGTGGGGCACTGCTGGGACACGGGGCTCTTGATGGACGTGGAACGCAGATGGGACACGGGGTACTGCGGGGACACGCGGCACTGATGGGTAGGGGACGCCGGTGGGGACGTGGGGCACAGCGGGGACGCGGGGCGCGGATGGGGACGAGCACCACCGATGGGTACGGGACGCTGCCGGGACGGGGCCCCGTGGGATCTCAGCCCCGGAGCCCCCCGCTCTGCTCCCCCCTCCCCCCACCTCCCCCCCCCCATCCGCAGCCGCCGCCGCGCATTTTTTCGCTCTCTCGGGGCTTTGGGGTTTGAGGCCGCGGTGACCAAATAAGGGAAGCGGCGCCGGGCGGCCGCGGGTGGGGGCGGCCCCGCGTGGGTTCCCCACGTCCCGGCGTGGGGCCCCGCACCGCCCCGCTGTACCGCGTGGGGCCCCGAAACGCCGCGCCTGACATCGCGGGTCCGAACGCCGCGCCCACGGGACCGCGTGGGGCCGCCCCCCCCCCCCACACCCAGCGCCACGCGGGACCCACGGTGCCCCCTCCGCCCCGCCCGGCTTTGGCTCCGCGCCCGGTGCCGCCCGCCCCGCCGGGTCCCGCCCGGTGCCGCCGGTCCCTCCCCACCTCTAAGACCGGGGCGGGGCCGCGCAGGAGCTGCCGGGCGGTGCGGGGCGGTGCGGGGCCGTGGGAGAACCATGGGGGCCCCCGGGCTGGAGCGGCACCGGCTGGCGCTGCTGGCGGCACGGGAGGACGTGGGCAACCCGCGGGCGGCCACCAACTGGTGAGGGAACGGCGCCGGGACGCGGGGGGGTCCCGAGCGGGTCGAGGTGCGGAGCCGCACGGGGGGTTCCGGGGCCGCGCACGTGGATCGGACTGCGTGGGCCGGGGGCGGCGGGGCCGGGCCGGGCCGGAGCGGCGCCCCCGTGGGCGTCGGGTGGGAACGGGGAACCGGGAACGGGGCGCGATTGCGGGGGGGGCCGAGTTCCGCCCGGTGCCCCCACGGCGCTCGCAATGCCCCCCCAAACCTCCCCGCGTGGAACCGCGCCCCGCCCGCGCCTGGGAGCCCCGCGCTCCCCCCTCCTCCCCCCCGTCGCACAGCGCTGCCGTCCGGGCCGCCCCCCCGTTGCCGCCCTCCGCTCCGTCCGGGGCCGCTCGGCCGCTGCCCGCTGCCCGTCCCCCCTCTGCGCCGGGACGCGAAGTCGCGCCGCCCGGGGGGGCAGCCCGGTGTCGGTACCGGGGGGGCGGGCACGGCGCTTCCCGCCGCTCCATTGTCCCCGGGCGGATGACGGCGGCACTTCCACGAATTGAGACCGGCGGGGGGCGGGGTGAGGGGCGGCGGCCGCGAGCCCCCACGTGCCGCCACCCCCCGGTCCGACCCCGACCCGGCACCGAGCGTCCCCCGCCCCCCCCAGGGCCGTGTTCGCCTACGAGAAGCACCATGACCTCAGGCTGCTGGACTCGGGAGGTACGGGGGGGTCGTTATACGGGGACGGGGGGATCCGCAGGGGGTCGCGCGTCGCGCGGCTCGCCCTGATCCCCCTCCCACAGCCGGCGGCGTGGACGAGCTGGCGGCGAAGTTCTGTGCCAGCAGCATCATGTACGGGCTGTGCCGAGTGCGGGACCCCGGCAGCGGAGCCCCCCGCGTCGTCCTCATCAGCTGGGTGAGCCGGGGGGGGCGACGGGGGGCCGCGCCGTGCCGTCCTACAGCGGGCGTGGGGGGGGGAGCGGCTGGGGGCGCTGGGGGGCGCGGGGATGGGATGAGGGGCGCTGAGCCGGCAGCGCTGAACCCCGCGCCTGTGCCAGGTAGGGGAGGAGGTGCCCGAGTCCCAGCGCCAGGCGTGCGCCGGACACCTGCCGGCCATCAGAGCCTTCTTCAAGGTGAGTCTGGAGCCCCGGGGGTCCATGAGGGACCCCACCCCCCCTTCCTGCCCCGCAGCCCCGACCTTTGCTTGCTGCTGCGTGCGGTGCATTCCTGGAGCTGCTGACTCAGGCGCTGCCGTTCCCAGCTCCCAGTTCCAGCTCCCAGTTCCAGCCTTGGCCGCGCTGTGGCTGTGGTTGGGCTCCCTGCCCCGGCCCCGTCCTGCCCCGGCCCCTCCTGCCCCGGCCGCTCTGCCCTGCCCTGTGGAGCTGGGGCTGCCCCCCGCCCGTGCCCCCATCCCTGCACGCCCTGGGGTGAGATCCCACGTCTGGATCCGGCCCCACATCTGGATCTGCTGAGCTCCGCTGGGAACGGTGCCCAGATTCCCCGGGGACGGTCTGGGAGCGGATCCCGGCAGGGGGGGGGGGGGGGGGGGGTGCAAGGGTGGCTCGGGGCGCTGTGGGGCCGACGCTGGCCCCATCCCACTGCCAGGAGGCCACCGCCGTGCTGAGCGCCCGTCGTGCCGAGGAGGTGACGCAGGAGGGGCTGAGCCGCGTGCTGGCACAGCTGGCCCCCGCCGCAGCCCCGAGCAGCAGGAGGAGCCCCCCGGCAGACGGCGAGGAGTTGGTGGTGAGCGGGGCGGGGAGGCGGCGGCGGGCGGGGGGTCCGTGCGGGTGCCGCGGTGCGGCCTGAGCCCCGCCGCTCCCGTAGGGCACCAACTACCGTAAGACCAACCCGGCGTTGGAGATCCGCCGCACCAAACGGGACTCCTTCTGGGCGCAGGCGGAGGTGAGGGGCGGTGGGTGCCGTGGGGGGGAGGTGCGGGGTCCCATCCCGCTGAGTCCCTGCGGTGCAGCGCGAGGAGGAGCAGCGGAAGGAGGAGGAGCGGCGCCGGGCGCTGGAGGAGCGCAGGAGATGGGAGAGGGAGCGCATGGAGGAGGAGCGCAGGGACGCGGCGGAGCGCGAGCGGCGCTGCAGGGAGAAGGAGCAGCGCATCGAGGAGCAGCGGTGAGGCGGGCGGCCCCGAGCCCAGCACCCATGGGTGCCCGCAGTCCCGTGCCCGGCACCTGGAGGCGCAGCCGGTGGCGGCGCTGAGCTCCCATCCCCGCAGGAAGGAGCAGGCGCGGATAGAGGCGGAGGAGCGCAGGAAGGAGCAGCAGCGATGGGTGCGTGGGGCTGCGGGATTCGGTTCTTGACACAGAGCGGCGAGGGGCTGAACAGCCGCCCAGAGGGGCTGCGGTGCCCCGTCCATCCCTGGAGGGGTTGGAGGTTGGATGGGGCCCTGGGCAGCCTGGTGTAGCCTTAGATATGGAGGTTGGTGGCCCTGCGTGCAACAGGGGGTTGGAGCTTCGTGATCCCTGCGGTCCCTTCCAACCCGGGCCGTTCTGTGATTCTGGGATGGAGAGGCGCCACGCGGTGCTGCGTCCACACCGCGTCCCCGTCGCCACGTCCCCATCCCCAGATCTCCATCCCCGCACCCCCATCCCTGTCCCCCCATCCGTCCCCATCCCCGCAGGAGCAGCAGCAGCGGGAGCACGAGGCTGCAATGCGGGATCGCTTCCGGCGCAGCGAATCCATTGAGAAGGCGGCGGTGAGTGGGGCGGGGGGCCGCTGTGTGGGGAGCGCCGGGGGGGGTCTGCGCACCACAACGGCCCCCGGTGCTGCAGGAGGCGGCCGTGCTGGTGGCTCAGCGGACGCAGAACCCGCGGGACTTCTTCCGGCAGCGGGAACGCGCGGGATCCGCCTCGGGCAGCACCTCGGGCACCGCGCTGCCCGCCGGCCCGCTGGGCACACGGCCCGGTATGTGGAGGGCCGGGGGGGGGGGGGGGGGGGCCGGGGGTCCCCGGTGGCTGTGAGCTGACCGTGCCTCCCCAGGCGCCCGCCGCCCCTTCCTGCGGTACCAGCGCAGCCTGACCGAGTCCGCCTTCATCTTCCGCCGCCCGGAGACTCCCGCTTCGCCCACCGCCCCCGATCCCGGTGCCTTCCAGGCTGCGGCTCCCCCCAGCCCCCGCCGACCCCCGGGGACTCCCACCGGCCCGGCCGGGGTTGGGCCTCCGCACGCCGGTAGCCCCGTAGGGACGTGGCGCCCACCCTGTGCCGCCTTGGGGAGCCCCCCGAGACCCCCGGGGGCCGGGACTCCGTCTCCCATCAGCCCCCCCGGGCCCCCTGCCGGCCCCTCCCGGCTGCAGAGCCCCCCCGGCCCTCCTGGATCGGGGCCCTCAGACGGCACTCGCAGAGCGGAGCCTCTGCCCCCCAGCAGCGCTTCAGGGCTGGGCCCCCCCAGCAGCACCGCCGGGGGGCCGCCGCCCCTCAGCCCCCCCCGGCAGCCCCCCACCGGCACCGTGGAGGACGAGGCTCTGCCCCTGCCCAGCCCCCCCAGCACCCCCTTGGATGAGGAGGGCCCCCCCCCGGGCACCCCCCCGCTGCCCAGCCCCCCCGCGTGGGGGGCTCCGGAGCTGCCGGTTGGGCCGGGCGAGGGGGTCCTGAGCCCTCGGGAGGGCCCCCCTCCACCTGGGCTGCCCCCCGTCCCACCGCCCCCCCCGCAGCCCCAGCCCCCCCGGCCCGAAGGATGCAGCACTGCCCTGCGAGCTGCAGCAAGGTGGGTGCACGGAGCCCCCCGTGTGGGGCTGGGACGGGGTTCCCTCACATTGTACCCCCACCCCGCACCGCGGGGGGGGCTCAGCCGCGTCCCCCTCCTGCAGGGACAGCTGGGGAGCACCAGGCGGAGCCGAAAGTGAGCAACGGGGGGCAGAATGGCCTTGGGGACTGGGCACCGCCTTGGGAGCCCCCAAAGCAGGTATGGGGCGACTGGTGGCATTGGGATGGGGGGCATGGATGGGGCCGGGTGGGGGGGCAGGGGCTGTGGGTGGGGGTTTGGGGGCAGGTGGGCAGCAATCAGGGGGCGGCTCTGGGGCCGGGGGCAGGACGGGGATGATGGAACCTCGAGGGCGGGGGCGACGCACAGGACGTGGGGCGGGGGCCTCACGGTTGGGGACCCCCGGCGCTCTCTCCCGCAGGGCGGCGGTGCCACCATCCTGCCGCAGCCGCTGCACAAAGCCAAGCCAGGTACGGGCCGGCCCCGCCGCATCCCCCGCTCCTCCGGGCCCCCCTGCGCCCCCCCAGCCCGGCCTCACCCTCTCCCTCTCCCCCAGGTTTCACCCAGCTCCTGACCCCCGGCGCCTCCCCCCCGCCCGAGGACAAGGAGTTTCCCCCCCACACTGTGTAGTTCGGGTTGGGGGCAGCAGCTCTACGCCCCCCCGCTGCTCTCCACGCACCGCGCGGCCGGGGCTGCCCCGCACCTCACCCCGCAGCCCCCCGGCGCCGCGCCCCGCACTGACCGCTTCCCCCCACCCCCCGTACAGCAGCTTCGGGCAGCAGCCGCCCCACGCAGCCCCAGCGCCGCAGCACCGTGCTGGGGGGGCAGCACGACCCCCCCGGGGAGGGAGGGGAGCCGAGCAGCGCCCCCCGCCCCAATGAGACGCGGCGGCTGTTAAATAAATTTTAATGCACACGGACGAGGTGGGGGCTTCGGCTGGTCCTGGCCGCGGTTAGGAGTGTGAGGCATAAAGCGGGGGGACCCCGACCCCCCCCCAAGGCTGGATCCGCGCCCGCCCATTGCGGGGGGCTCAGCCCCGAGCACCATCCGAATGAGGGGGGGGGGAGCCCCGAGCCCACGGCAGGCGGCAGCAGCTCGGAGCGACCCGACCCCCCCCCTCCACTTGGGCACCGTACGTTCCAGTTTCTCCCCAAAAAGAGCAGCCCTCGGCACCGGGACCCCCGACCCGGGCCGCGTCCCCACGGCGCCCCCCCGCCCATCCCCAGAACCCCCCGGGGTGCCGGGTTCACACCTGGGACTGAAGGCGGCCCGGAGGGGCGGCGCGTTCGGTGTCGGAACCGGAGCTGCCGGGGCTGGAGGAGCCGGAGCCGGGCGGGGGGCGCGGGGAGGGGGCGCGCCGGGTTCCCCCCCGGCCCTTCAGGGTGCTGAGCTTGGCGTCCAGCGACAGCGTGCGGGGACGGGCGCGGGGCCGGGGGCTGCAGCCGGCGGGGGGGGCGGCGTGCGGGGGGGGACCCTCGAAGAGGGAGAGCCACGGGGGGCAGCCCCGCGCCCCCCCCGCCAGCGCCGCAGCGCGCCGCGTCAGGATGTCCGTCACGGCCTCGATGTCGTCGGAAGGGTCAATAGCTGCGGGGAAGGACGGTCAGCGGCGGGGGGGGGGGGGGGCTGCGCACCGCGGAGGGGGGGGTCGAAGGAGGGGGGCGCGCCCCACGGACACGCCGTGCCCCATGGATGCGGTGCGCGGGGCGGGACTACAGCCGGGTGACTGCAGCACCGGGACGGGGACAAACGGGACGTGCGCTGCGCCAGGGGACGCGGCCGGGATGCGCCCCATAGCGGGGATGTGCCCTATAGATGGGATGTGCCCTATGGATGGGATGTGCCCTATAGCTGGGATGTGCCCTATAGCCGGGATGTGCCCTATAGCTGGGATGTGCCCTATAGATGGGATGTGCCCCATAGATGGGATGTGCCCTATAGATGGGATGTGCCCTATGGATGGGATGTGCCCTATAGATGGGATGTGCCCTATGGCTGGGATGTGCCCTATAGCTGGGATGTGCCCTATAGCCGGGATGTGCCCTATGGCTGGGATGTGCCCTATAGATGGGATGTGCCCTATAGCCGGGATGTGCCCTATAGATGGGATGTGCCCTATGGCTGGGATGTGCCCTATAGCCGGGATGTGCCCTATAGATGGGATGTGCCCTATAGCTGGGATGTGCCCTATAGATGGGATGTGCCCTATAGCTGGGATGTGCCCTATAGATGGGATGTGCCCCATAGATGGGATGTGCCCCATAGATGGGATGTGCCCTATAGATGGGATGTGCCCTATGGCTGGGATGTGCCCTATAGATGGGATGTGCCCTATGGCTGGGATGTGCCCTATAGCTGGGATGTGCCCTATAGCCGGGATGTGCCCTATGGCTGGGATGTGCCCTATAGCTGGGATGTGCCCTATAGCCGGGATGTGCCCTATAGATGGGATGTGCCCTATAGCCGGGATGTGCCCTATAGATGGGATGTGCCCTATAGCTGGGATGTGCCCTATAGATGGGATGTGCCCTATAGATGGGATGCGCCCTATAGATGGGATGTGCCCCATAGCGGGGATGTGCCCTATGGATGGGATGTGCCCTATAGATGGGATGTGCCCTATAGATGGGATGTGCCCTATAGCTGGGATGCGCCCTATGGCTGGGATGTGCCCTATAGCTGGGATGTGCCCTATAGCCGGGATGTGCCCTATAGATGGGATGTGCCCTATAGCTGGGATGTGCCCTATAGATGGGATGTGCCCTATAGCTGGGATGTGCCCTATGGATGGGATGTGCCCTATAGATGGGATGTGCCCTATAGCTGGGATGTGCCCTATAGATGGGATGTGCCCCATAGATGGGATGTGCCCTATAGCTGGGATGTGCCCTATAGCTGGGATGTGCCCCATAGATGGGATGTGCCCTATAGATGGGATGTGCCCTATAGCCGGGATGTGCCCTATAGATGGGATGTGCCCTATAGATGGGATGTGCCCTATGGCTGGGATGTGCCCTATAGCCGGGATGTGCCCTATAGCTGGGATGTGCCCTATGGATGGGATGTGCCCTATAGCTGGGATGTGCCCTATAGCTGGGATGTGCCCTATGGATGGGATGTGCCCTATAGCTGGGATGTGCCCTATAGCCGGGATGTGCCCTATAGATGGGATGTGCCCTATGGCTGGGATGTGCCCTATAGTAGGGATGTGCCCTATAGTAGGGATGTGCCCTATGGCTGGGATGTGCCCTATAGCCGGGATGTGCCCTATAGATGGGATGTGCCCTATAGATGGGATGTGCCCTATAGACAGGATGCACCCTATAGATGGGATGTGCCCTATAGCTGGGATGCACCCTATAGCTGGGATGTGCCCCACAGCCGGGATGTGCCCTATGGATGGGATGTGCCCTATAGCTGGGATGTGCCCTATGGCTGGGATGTGCCCTATAGATGGGATGTGCCCTATGGCTGGGATGTGCCCTATAGCCGGGATGTGCCCTATAGCTGGGATGTGCCCTATAGACAGGATGTGCCCTATAGCTGGGATGTGCCCTATAGATGGGATGTGCCCTATAGATGGGATGTGCCCTATAGATGGGATGTGCCCTATGGCTGGGATGTGCCCTATAGTAGGGATGTGCCCCACAGCCGGGACAACTGCGCTGTGCTCTGCAGCCACGCTGGCCGGGCTGCACCCACGGCAGCACAGCCGGGAGATGCACAGCGGTGCCGCGTCCCACGCCGTGCCCCACAGCCGTGCCCCACAGTGGGCACCGAGCAGCGGCGGCAGAGGCCCCGTACGTCACCTGTCGCTGTAATAGGAGGAGAGCAGCGCGCGGATCTCCGCCGAGACGGCGTTATCCTGCAGCAGGAGCCCCTCGCAGGAGGGCACGGCCGGGCCGGGCAGCGCTGGCACCGAGCGCGGAGAGGAGCACAGAGAGGAGCGGAGACACAGGGAGAGCAGACGGCAGAGAGCCGGGCAGCAGGAGGAGGAAGAGGAGGATGAGGAGGAGGAAGAGAGCGAGGAAGAGAAGGAGGAAGAGGAGCAGCAGGAAGAGGAGGAGGCTGCGCTCACCCATCTCGTGGTACAGCGATCCCTGGCGCGGCAGCGGGGCGGGCGGGCGGCGCGGCGGCGGCGCGTCGATGCGCATCAGCTCGTCGCAGCACTGCTTCCACTGACCTGCGGGCACGGGGGGGGGGGTCGGGCCGCGGCCCACGGCCGTAAGCGCGGTGCGGGCCGGGCCGGGGTGTCTCGGGGTGCCGCCGTGCCCCGGCCCCACGCACTCATGTCGTAGAAGTGCTGCCAGAACGCCTCCATCCAGCGCTGCGTCTCGGCGCGGCTCTCGGCCAGCAGCGTGTGCGTCACCTCCTCCGCCCCGTAGCGGTTGGTCACCGTCATGCTGTGCAGTTTGCCCCGCGCCTCCTGCTCCGTGGCGCGGATCCGCGTCTCCTGCACGGCACGGCCGTCAGCCCCCCGCCCGCAGCCGCCTCCCCCCCAAATGAGCCCCCAAACCTTGTTGATGGCGATGGTGAGCGCGGGCTGCACGCCGCCCTCCGCCTCCTGCGCCCGCCGGTAGCACAGCAGGTTGGTGCCGCGCAGCACGCAGAACAGCCGCGCCCAGCCCTGCGGATCCCCCGGCGCCTGCTGCGAGGAGGGAGGCCGTAAGGACCGCGACCCCCAGCCGCCCACCGCGGGGATCCCCGCTCCCGTCGCACCGCAGCCGCTGCCGGTGGTGGCTGAGAGGTGGGGGCTGCTGCTGCCGCCCGGCCCCACGGCACCCCCGACCCGTTTCCATCCCCGCCCCCACCGTGCTGCCCATCCCCCCCCACCCCATCCCATCCCATCCCATCCATCCCATCCCATCCCATCCATCCCATCCCATCCCCATCCCACCCCATCCCATCCCATCCCATCCCATCCCATCCCCATCCCATCCCATCCCATCCCCTCCCCTCCCCTCCCCTCCCCTCCCATCCCATCCCATCCCATCCCATCCCATCCCATCCCATCCCATCCCATCCCACCCCACCCCATCCCACCCCATCCCATCCCATCCCATCCCCTCCCATCCCATCCCACCCCATCCCATCCCATCCATCCCATCCCATCCCATCCCATCCCACCCCATCCCATCCCATCCCATCCCATCCCATCCCCATCCCATCCCCTCCCATCCCACCCCATCCCATCCCATCCCATCCCCATCCCATCCCCTCCCCTCCCATCCCCTCCCCTCCCATCCCCTCCCATCCCATCCCATCCCATCCCACCCCATCCCATCCCATCCCATCCCATCCCACCCCATCCCATCCCATCCCATCCCATCCCATCCCACCCCACCCCATCCCATCCCATCCCATCCCATCCCACCCCATCCCATCCCATCCATCCCATCCCATCCCATCCCATCCATCCCATCCCACCCCATCCCACCCCATCCCATCCCATCCCATCCCATCCCATCCCATCCCATCCCATCCCATCCCATCCCATCCCCACCCCCATCCAACCTCCATCCCATCGCACCTTGCCAACGCTCCCATTCCATTTCCATCCCCCCCAACGCCGCCCCCTCCTCTTCCCCATTCCCCTCCCCATCTCCCCCTGCCCCACACCCCCCCGTGCCCCCCGATCCCCCCCACATACCTGCACCTTCAGGAAGCCGCACATCACCTGCGCCGCCATGCAGCGGGGCTGTGCAGCCAGGCGGCAGCACATACTGCCGTACAGCGGCAGCCAGAAGGAGCTCTCCTCTGGGGAGGGGGCACACGGCACTCAGCGGCCGCCCGGCGCAGGGAAGACCCCCAGGCGCCCCCCTCCCCCCTCCCCGCCTTGCTGTGACCGCATCCCCGCATCGGCCCCCCCTCCCCGAAGCGCGGCCCCCCTCGGCCCCCCGCGCCCCCTTTGCTCACCGCTGCAGGCGATGGCGAGGTCGTGCGTGCGGAATCCGTCCTGCACCTCGGCCAGGGACAGCACGGTGTGCGCCAGCAGGTGATATTTGGGACCCCTGCAGGGCGCGGGGCTGAGGGGCACTGCGCCCCCCCACGGCCCCGCACCCCACATTGGCGCCCCCGCGCTCCCGGATGCCCACATCCCTTTCCATTCCTATTTTCGCCTCCGTTCCCATCCCACTGCCATCCTCGGCCCCATTCCAACCCCATCTCTGCTCCCATTCCCACCCGTGTTGGGACACAGGGACACACAGACAGAGGGACACAGAGGTGTGGAGCACTGTGGGTTCAGGTCATTCCCATCCCATCCCATTCCCATCCCATCCCATCCCATCCCCATCCCATCCCATCCCCATCCCATCCCACCCCACCCCATCCCCATCCCCATCCCATCCCATCCCATCCCATCCCATCCCATCCCATCCCACCCCATCCCATCCCATCCCATCCCATCCCATCCCACCCCATCCCATCCCCATCCCATCCCCTCCCACCCCCTCCCACCCCATCCCATCCCATCCCATCCCATCCCATCCCATCCCATCCCATCCCATCCCATCCCATCCCATCCCATCCCACCCCATCCCATCCCATCCCACCCCACCCCACCCCATCCCATCCCATCCATCCCACCCCATATCCCCCCCTCACAGTCACACGCCGGCACTCACGGCACGCTGGGGGCCGGCAGCAGCAGAGCCCCCCCCCCGTTTGCCGTGGGGCTCCCAGGCCCCCCATCCATGGTGGCCCGCAGGCGGCGCCCGGCGGAGCGGCCCAGGGAGCTGCTGAGTTTGCTGGCCAGCTTCCTGGGCGCGCTGCCCCCCACGTCGTCCCCCAGCCCCGCGCTGTACAGCTCCACCTTCAGCAGGAAATCCGGGCCGGCCTCCGAGCTGAGAGCGGCGTCAGCGCGGGGTCGGGGCCCGGGGGGGTGGAGGGGGGAGGCGGGGATAAGGAGACGGAAACGGGCGCGCGTGGGGTGCGGGGACGCGGGGTGTAGAGGTGTGAGGATGTGGCACGAGGGGACACGGGGCTGGGTGTGAGATCGGGGGGTGTGGGGACACGGGGATGTGGGGATGTGGGGACACGGGGATGTGGGGACATGGGGACACGGGGATGTGGGGACACGGGGATGTGGGGACGCAGGGACGCAAGAATGTGGGTACATGGGGATGTGGGGATGTGGGGACATGGGGACATAGGGGCGCAGGGACACAGGGATGTGGGGACACGGGTACACGGGGATGCTGGGATGAGGGGACATGGGGACATGGGGACATGGGGACGCAGGGATGCAGGAATGTGGGTACATGGGGATGTGGGGATGAGGGGACACGGGGACATGGGGATGCGAGGATGCGGGGAGATGGGGACACGGGGGTGCAGGGACGTGGGGACATGGGGACGCAGGGATGCAAGAATGTGGGTACATGGGGATGTAGGGATGTGGGGACATGGGGACATAGGGGTGCAGGGACACAGGGATGCAGGGATGAGGGGACACGGGGACACAGGGGTGCGGGGACACAGGGACACAGGGATGTGGGGACATGGGGACGCAGGGACACAGGGATGTGGGGACGCGGGCTGCCGCGGTGTGGCAGTGTGGGGATGCGAGGCTGTGCGAAGGCGACACAGGGG